CACATACAAGTTTTACAACTGTTGGTATAGAAAGTATTGAAGGAACGGTTGAAGAAACTGGTGGGGATGCATTATATTGTAAACCTCCTAACTTTCCACAAGGTTTAACATCGGATGACGACATAACGACGATGAAAAACATTAGATGTAAAGATGTTTATGTCATGAAGGATGAACATAATATTAAATTCACTGCTCAAGATTTATATGAGAAGAAAGCAGACAAAACAGAGCTTCAAACATTAAAGAGAAATACTTCAAACATTATATCCTATAGGCTCTATTTATACGTCAATGAACTCTACCAGACCAGAAGTAGTACTTGGTTTTGGAACTTGGACTCAAATAGTCGACAGGTTTTTGTATTGTGCAAACTCTTCAAAGGAAACAGGTGGAAGTAAAACGATTTCAGGTGAAAATTTACCTGCACACAGTCACTACATAGATTTAAGTACATCTCAAGCAGGTTGGCATAAGCATAGATTTGGGATTGGTCAGCAATGAAAAAGGTAAAGGATATGATGTTAAAGACGAACGTTCAGTTTGCTATAAATTGTTTCTGGGTAACACAGGGAGAGGAAACCATACACATCGCGTTTCAGGGTATACGCAAACAACAGGGGGTAAAGAACTACATGCCACCTTACATGACAGTTTACGCATGGTATAGAATGCTTAGTCGTCATTTTCAACTTCTTTAGCATATTCGTCAGGAGTTGTCTTATATTTGTTAGGAACTGTCTTTGAAAGTATACCACCTTGAACTTTGACAAGTTTGAAACGAGGTCTGACAATAGTAGTTTTATCTTCTGCTTGCAGTGTACATTTTGCCATGTTTGCCTAAAACTTCATAATATTCTCTTGTATACTTTCTTCTATTTTTACGAACACGAATGTGAGTACCTGTCGGGTTCCCATTGTTGTCATAGTCAATAGTATTTTCATATGGGTCGCGTTTAGGTATTTCTATTTTTACTTTGTCACCTTTCTGAAGTTTGAAGCCCGGCATTCTTTCTTGTTTGTCTCTTTTGACTAAATTATTAAATATATAGTCTTTCTCTAAGTCAGGGTTGTTTTTCATTTCTTCGGGGGAGTGGTTTCCCAAACCTTTTTGTTTACGGCTATTGTAAATATTTAAAACTTGTCTCATCTTTGCCATGGAGAAGTGTCTATATTTGTCGTCATATGACATTTCATTTGCTTCACCACCTTGTGGTTGGTTTAAGTCTCTTAACATTTTTATAACCGTCAATGACACCAAGAGCAGAATGGTTTTGGTCGACAATGAAATATTGGTTTACATTTTTTGAACGCAGATAGTTTTTAATATCGTCTGATTTGAAAGAACTTTCACAGTCAGATGTCAGTTTTGTTGGATGGTATTTGTCAAAAATATTGTCAAAGCAGTTTTCACATCTAAAATATTTTTGGACTGTAATGGTATGGCTTCACAGTATCTTGTGTTTTGACCAACAAATATTAGCCAGTATGGGTCCATCTTCTCTATACCTCGGAATGTTTTCCAAGATATCCATAAACCAAGCATTTGGTGTTGAACTAAAGATTTTTACCATGAGTGCTTTCTTTGTCGCTTTAGAAACATAGGGGTCCTTGTTTGGATTCGTCATTTTTTAACCCATAAGAAATGGGTTTATTTGGCGCGTTAGCAGGAGTTGCATCCAGATTTTTGCCCGCAGTGGGAACAATAGCCAGAGGTGTATTTGGAGTTGGAAGGAAGATTTTGAGTACATTAGGTATACTTAAAGAGAAAGCACAACCTATTATACAAACTGTACAGAAAGGTTGGGATGTAGCACGAGATGCAACAAATCTTATTCCAAATCCTGAAACAAGAGGAAAAGTTCAAGGATGGATGGACAATGTAGGAAGACAAGCAGGAAACTATTATAACAAAGCAAATGACTACTATAACCAAGCAGGACACTATATGGACCAAGGTGAAAGATTCTTTAACAGAGGATATAACCATGCACAACATGGGTAAACAATAACCAACCTCAACCGCCTCAAACGTGGGGAATGTAAAGTTTTTTATTGAGATGAAATGAACAATACAGCATTGAGACAAATGGGTTCAAGATGGATTTGTCGGCTTCCAGCAGTTACACAACGTGTTTGTCAAGTTCTTCTTATACCTCAGGAAGTTTTAGACCGACTTAAAAAACAACAACAACCAGTTGAAAACAAACCAAACTAAAATTTTTACTGAGATGAAATGACCGAAGAAGTTGAAACGGTAGATTTGACACCACAAACAAAAAGTTCAGAACCATTGTCAAAACCTGTCAAAGAACTTACAGATGAAGAGAAAAATTCAATAATAGAAAGTGCCAGGTCTGGAAATACAAACCCTAACTATAAAGTCACTTTTCATAAAAATGGAACGGCTAGTATCTCAAAAAAGAAACAGACTCTCACAAATAAAATATTGAAGTCTGAAGGAGCTTTCGAGACAACAGATGGAAAAGTTTACTTCACTGACCAACAGTTCATTATAGAACATCTCATTGACTTAGAGTCGAAATATTCTAAACTTTACAACAAACACAAAAAGTTGAAAGGAAAACAAAAACAAATGGCATATGATATTTATGAAGATGTTGACGACACAACTGTTCCTGCAAGTGAAGTAAAGTCAGAGGAACCGAAAAGTGACGAAAAACGATAGAAGAAGAAAACCAAAAACTGAAGATAAACAAAACCAAAGTTTAGTTTCCAAACTAAACCAGTCAACCTTCATTAGCTGGTATGGGTTGGCGTCAAAGACTTATGGCAGCAGGCGGTTATGTAAAGTAAAGAAAAAAAATATTTTTTTATTTTTATAAAAATGCCCCATATAGAATGGATAGAAAATCTGCTAGAATAAAAGCAGAGTTGCAAAGTTATGGTTGGAGAGTTTCGAAGAATTTAAATATAGGAAGGGAAGACCCATAAAAGTCTATGACAAATTGTCTGGTCTTCGCTACGAAATGGATTTGGAAACAGCACGTGCAAATTATCCAAACAGACTAGAGAGGTTAGAAGAGAACGTCTTATGGACATGCCTTTCGATGTTAGTGAACCTCAAGTTGAAGGACACGACGGCTTTGCCAGATTCTACTGGAAACTGACGAACAATTGCATCCTTTGAGAAGGAAAAAAGGAAAAGGTGAAGACACACATGCTCCCATGGAAAGAACAAGATATGCATATGAAAGTATCGTGAAGTTAGAAGTCAAATTACATCTGGTCGAACCTTTACAGTAACTTTGACGAAGGAAAGAACAAAGAAGGCTTCATGGGTGTACTTGCTGCAATTCATGACGGAAATAAGAAAGGACACAATCTCAGATTGACCATAACAGATTTGGATGGTCACATTTACTATGCACATGGCAATGAACAAACAGCCGCAAAACTTCTTGACGCTTTCAAGACTACAAAGAGAGAACAAATGGTTGACTCCGACTCAGACATTTTGAATGCAATTGAAGGAATTGCAAGTGTCAAGTTCGAATGGTACCACCTAACCCTCAAGCAGTCAGACACATGCTGGATACTTCCCGTTCATAAATAAGTCTGACATTGACTTGACAAGGTATGGAATTTACAATTCAATTGAAACAATTGTCAATGAACCTTGCATTCTTACATGTCTCAGGAACTCTGGTCTTGTTACAGATGAGAAGATGAAGTATCTTGAGTCATGTGTGAAGACAAGGTACATTCTCAGAGGTCAATTGGCAAAAATTGCACCGTTGGCAAATGTCAATATCCGAGTCAACATACCTACAGCTAAAGGTTCTTCACATGACGACTATGTTGTTGACTTCAAATTGCCATGGTTGAAGATTGTAATTGTCCACAACCACTTCATGTTGAACGAAAGTCTTACAAACCCATTGTTCGGAAAAGGCAAGTGCAACATTGTCAGAGCTGTAAACATTCTTTTCGAGAAAGGTTTGTTGGAACCAATTCCAGATGACAAGCTGACAGAAACTTTTGTACCAAAAGACGAAACAAACTTTTCACTGTTAGCAAGACCAAAAGTTGTTCCAGACAAAGTTCTAGTACAAAAGAAGTACACAATTCCACAAGGAGTTGGATTGTTCGGATACCAACCTGAACCAGAAGAACTTCCAATGAGGTTGCAAGAACTTCAAGATGCTATAAACAAACTTCCATTGAGACATCCAATTGACGTCAAATTGTATTGGAGAGCATCTGAGTTAGGTCAGAAGGTTTTATATGAAACAGGTTGCTTCGACGATGTTTATGAGATAACAGGAGAAGTTTCTCAGAAGATAAGAGACTCACTTGAATTTCCACAAACTGGACCAATTGGTTGCGACAAGTTCGACTCAGATGAAAAATATACTATGTCGACCTTAACGCTGCGTACATGAGGTTTGTCCAATATATTCCGACTGGAATTCCAAACGAAGATGGTAAGTTCCCGGGAAGGAACTATACAGTTGGAAAAGTCATACAACAACTGTATGATATTAGGAAAGCTTCAAACCCCAAACTTGCAATGACACTCAAATTGCTTATGAATTCAACATGGGGATATTCCATTAAGAAACCTCAAGAGATGAAGAGTAAACATTATGAGAAGGTCGACAACTTTGTTGAAAGGTTTTCTCCTTTTGTTTTGAAGTACGAGTTCACTCAAGGTCAAAGTGGCTTAGTAACCACATTAAAACCTATTGTCGAACATTGGTCTTACCCTCAGTTCGCAAAGGCAGTCCTTGACAACTACAATGAGTTCTTCTCGGAAGTCAAATCCAAAGTGAAGGTTTACTATGAAAACATTGACGCACTCATGACGAACGAAGAAGGGTACAACAAACTCATTGAAATGGGCATGGTCGGTGAGAAGATGGGTCAATTCAAATTGGACAAAATTTTCACCGAAGTTCATGTCCTCTCCAAGCGTAAGTACTGGGGTGTTAAAGAAGATGGTGAAATAGTTAAACATTGCATGAAATAAAAAATTTTTATTCGAATTTGAATTTAAATGTGGGAATTTTTGGGAACGTGAAAGGCTTATTTACTTGAGGAACAGGTAAAGGTGGTGGAGGTGGAGGTGGTGGCAACCAGTCCATTTTATATTCCTTCCTAGCTAATTTCCGTTTAATTTCATGGTCGCCCTCGGAGTCTTTGAATCGGACAGGTCGAGTTACACCATTCTTGGTCTCAAACTCGTATATAACCTGTTTGTCTGTATTTTCGTCGACTATGGCACGAGACACGAACATTGACCAAACGGACAAAAAGTGTCATTTCGGATGGTCAAGCAGCCAATCGCATTCGAGCACCTCGAAGAAGCCTTACGTTCCAAGGGAGAGGGTGTCTGGTGCAAGGGAGAGGTCATGAGACTCTACGAGCAGTACATCCTCAATGCTTGGGAGGACAAATCGTCCTTGGATTGGCAATTCTACCAACTCCTCTGGGACGACCTCCTATGCAACTGGGATGACGAAAGAGTCCAATTCAGAGGTCGGGAGCTAATTGTCCAAATTACCCTTAATTTAACCTACTTAATGAACTAAACACCTAAATTTACTTGGGGTTTCCCCCTAAAATAAAATTTTTTTACTCTTAGAACCACTCGAGGTTCTCCTTACGGTTGTTGAGCTTGTCACCGTCAATGTGTCTGACCCTCGTCTTCTTGTCTGGATTTGGAACCCATTGCATACCGACAAGCCTTCCCATGGAAATTGAACCGTAATTTCGAAGGGTAAGGTTCAAGTGTCCAAGTTGTTGAGGACTGGGGTAAGAACCTTGCCGGTCTCCTTGTTGCGGATTTTGTATGGGTAGGGTTGGGAAATTTCATAAGCGTCATCGGCAACAAGGGTTGCCCAATCTTCCTCTTCTTTGTGTTTCTCTTCTTCCTCTTCTTCCTCTTCTTCCTCTTCTTCCTCTTCTTTGATAATACCTTCGGCAATTCTGTGTTCACGAATTACGGTGTTGGAGGTTCTGTCCTTTCCGAGTGCCGCCCAGATGGTGTCAATCTCTTCGAAGAAACGGTAGATGAGTTGGGCAAGGTTTTGGTTCTCTATGTTGTATTGGCGCAAGGTTTCCGCGAAATCGTTCAGGACTTTCTTATTGGAAGCTTGGTTCGTGAGGACTTCGACTTTGAGATTGGTTATCTCTTCCATAAGACTACTTTGGAGAGTCTTAATGGTGTTTGACAGATGAGCGTTCAATTGGGCAATTTGAATTTGAACTGGCGCTTGTCTGACAACCTTGAAAGGACATCTGCCATTGAGTTTGGCTTCGGTGCTTGTTCGGACATCGAAAAAAATGAAGTGGTTTGAGAATGACGGTTTTACTTCAAAAAGCTTGTTATGACGGTTAAGTCATACAACAAGTTTAAAATAATATCTTGTTCTTCTTCTGAACGTTTGTTGTCTCTTCCGATAAAAGTTGGAACATGAGAACCAAAAAACGTTTTTTGAGATTGTGGAAGAGTTCAGGCAAACGTTCATATTCCGGATATGTTGGGAGCAGTTCGAAACATCTGAGCTGACTTTCGGACAAAATTGGGACAAATGTCAACAAAATTCATCTTTGGTCGGACTGCTTGAAGGTAAGTCCCTTACATGTAAGTAGCTCTGGTAAAGTCTTCTCATTTCTGCTAAACTTTTGGAGTATAGCTTCGTAGTTTAGAAGTTTTAATTTTAATTGTCTTATTCCACTCTTGACATCTAAACGGTAACTATCCATGAGGTCAAGAGTAGCTTTGGTAGCTTTAAGTGGAGCTATCTGTTTCCTTGACTCCTGCAATTTTGGTTGCAATTGTGATTTGAGCTCCTTCAAGTTCGCCGTCTATGTCGTTCTCAACGTCTTCAACCATAGCTTGAAACTCTTCATCGGTCCATTGAGATTGGTGTGGGGACGAATTTAACTTGCTTCATTCAAAAAATGTTTTTACTCAAAGCGTGCCATGTATATGGCTAAAAAACTTACCAGAAGGCTTCTTCTTCACATGCGTAAAAACATAAAAAAAGTGAAGTTAAAATGAGATGTTTACTGAACTGGCTGAAGAACTGGCTGAATGTCGCCTTCACAAGGTTATGTAGAACGGCTGACCCGAGAAAGTGAAGGAGAGACTGAATTGCCAATTTCATATGGGGTAGGGGGTTCTCCTTGTTTGGATTTTTATCCAAGGACGTTTGTTTAGGAACTTAACAAGAGCTTCTCTTTGGCGTCCTTTATGCCATCGTAGGCTGTCCCGTCTGGTATTTGAATTGGAATTCCAGTCGAAGTCTCGAGCTGAAGTGTAGACCTTCCAGAAATACTGGTGAACTTGACCTTGGGCTTCATTACCTTGCGCAAGTAGTCTTTTACGCAGTCATTAATTTCAATTAGGTAAATTGCCTCGTCAAATCCTTCTAGCATTCCGAGTACTTCCATCCGACAGGAAAATATTTTCCCGACAACTGGAAAAAATTTTCCGGACAAAGGGAAAAATTTTTCCCGACAACAGGAAAATTTTTTCCAGTTGTTCGTCCGTAAACCATTCAAATTTTCGAAAATTGAGAACTTTTTGGTCGAACGACAGAAAAAATTTTTCCTTCCGACAGGAAAAAATTTTCCCGACAACTGGAAAAAATTTTCCTTCCGACAGGACACAAACGGATGACTGACGTTCCTCTTCCTGAATGCCTTCCAAAGCCAGAAGTACCGAAAGCTGCAGAACCACAACAGACTTACTAAGACTAAACACTTACATTTTTCAAGCTTGACTTTTTACAATTTGAACTTTGTTTGCGTAGATATGAATTCTGAAAGAAGTATGAGGGTCTTGTATGACTTTGTACTTCTCCCATAGTTCATGTCTGTCAAACTTACCTGCCATGGACTCTTTCATAAGTTCCATGAAATCGTCTTCGGACAATCCGGGGAAAAGTACAATGTCAGTAAGTATTCTCTTTACATCCTTACTTAAACTCTTTGCTGTCTGTACACAAATGACAACTGAGATGTTAAAGTGTCTGAGCTTCTTAAGAATTCGACACATGTCTTGTTCTCTATTCTTTAACAAAGGATGAGAAGCAAAGTCATCTAAGATAAGAAGACACTATGAGGGTATGTCTTCCAATCGTAAGATTGCAATTTCTTCGAAATGTATTCTATCTCTTTCTGTTTGTTTCTGAAGTGTTTCTTCTCTAATATTCTCTGCATTTCCTCATTTGGGTCTTTAAACTTCGAATTTATATACTCATTTATAGCATTATACTTCAAAACTCTTCTTTGGTACTTCTTTATCCAATCTAACAACTCAGAGTCTTTTATACATACTAACTTAGACTTCTTTATAATATCTTTGAACGAATTGACGGTTTGGTCAAATTGACCCGAAGTACTACAAATGAAACTAACTCATAGAATGGGTTCTTCTCATCTAGTTCTTGTTGTTGTGCAGCCATTTTAAGATAAGTGAAAGTCTTACCCGACCCGGTGGTGCAATTAGACCTGTTATACCATTCTGAGCAAATAAGAACTTGTCATGTATGGGTTTTATCTGAGCATTTTCCAACTTCCTCTTGTTCTTGTTTAAAACATTCTCAAATTTTTTGTCAATGTCAGCAAACTTTTTTTCTAACATATTTTTAGAAAAATTAAAATTTTTATCTTTTAGAAAATGTCTAGCGATTTCGCTATCTATATTCGAGACAAGCTTTTCGACAGCAAAACATCTGTCGACCATAAAATCTTACATAGTGTAAACAAGAAAGGTGAATTTGTTCTAAAAGTTCTGTTTCTGGGAATATGACAAGAACCATAAAACATTAAGCAGAGAAGTCTTAAAATTTGTCAATGACAGACTTGTTGACAGAGATGACGCCTCTTGGAGAGATGAAGTCCAACAAAACTTCTTAGAATGCAAAGAAGACACATGCACTGTTCTTGAAGATGAAATAGAAAACAGAATAGAAGAGCTATTAAAGGACAAAGAACTTTTACAAAAATATGGTTCTGAGAAGTTTGACATAACTCCACCAGAAAAGAAGAAGAGAGAAAAGAAAGAAAGAAAGTAGAAGAAGAGAAGAAAGAACCTGAACCAGAGCCAGTTCCAGAGAAAAGAAATTTGACATGTAAAATAAAATTTTATTTTTAGAACATTTCTGGGTCAATGTCAATGTTCTCTTCCTCTTTAGGAGCAAACACTGGCTTAGACTCTAAAATCTTTTTACCCAATTTACCTTGAACTTCAACTATCTTAGACTCATAATATTCATAGTCGTCTGCTTTCTTTGGTTCATAAGGTATAACAAGTTTGTATGCTTTGCCTTCTTCGAGTTTTGAGAACCTTCTGTCAAAACTTTCTTTGACTGCTAACAAACTTCTATGTCTAAGTCTTCAAATTTCGCACCATTTTTAGTCACAATAGCAAACTTAACTGGTTCGATGTTCCAAACTTTGCTGAATGAAGACTTTTCAAAAGGTAGAAGTAAACATTCAAATATGTGAATGGGTCTAGTTCTTCTTTAAGTCCTGACATGTACTTGTTTACTGAGATGAATTTTGTCATCTTTTCTATCGGATAAAAAATATTTTTTTTTAAAATTTACTCAGAAAAATTTTTCTTTGTATATACACCATTCTGTACGTCTAAAAGACTTTTGACATTTGCCAAGAATGTTCGTTTAGACGCTGTCATATAACCATATTCTTGACAATATTGTTTATAACGAATCGTACAATGACCTTTCATCTAAACACTCAAAGTCAGTTTCATCTTGAACAGTTCATATACACTCTTGTTTGCTTCTAACAATGTTTGTCTCTCTTCGGTATGTGGAATTTGTCTTGGATTGAACTTTGAAATATCTAATGTCATAAAATATGAGAACAAGTGGTTGTAAAAGTCAGATGTCAAAGTTTTCTGCTAAGTCGTCAAAATATTCTGTATCTTGCATATGAGCTTTGACGTTCTGACAACTACATATCTTCTGTCAGAACTTTCTAACTTCATCGAACAGCATTGTTTGAAACCATAACGAAATTTACAACATTTTCACAAACTCTTTGGTCTTTATACTTTCTTTTCAACAACTCCAACTTTGTCCTGTTATAAGACTCTTCAAAGCATCTGAGTTCAAAACTTTTGTTGTATCTATACTTTGAAGTTCGTTACATACTATAAGTTTCATATTCTTTATTGAAGAGTTAAATTTACCGCAGATGTTTTCTAAGTTTTGTCAAATTTCGGATTCGAATAACCTTCTAACAGTTTGCACAAAATATC